TGAATTGTGATTGTTTCCATGTTTGTACCTTATTACTCCTCTTTCACTCGTTTTCATAAAGCTATAAATATCATGCACCCCTCTTCTTTCAAACACACGAACACTAGAGTTCAGAACACACACTTCACTAAAAAGCTCTCTCTCTTTTCTCTGTTACTACTTGTGTTGCTGCCTTATCTAGCCGACTGAAAGCCAAGGCTAGGCTGAGGAAATTTGCCTACTTTTTCTGCATTTGCTTCTTTACTGGTTGTTCTGATTGATCTTCAGCATAAAAAAAATGTGTTTCCTTACTATTTCCTTCACTCTTGCCTGTTTCCTGCTTATGTTTAATCAAGTTTCATTGTCAAGCATGCTATAATCTGCCCTTTCCTTTTCTGAATTAATGTTTTCCTTATGAATGAACTCTATCAGTTACCTATTAATCCCAAACCCCCATCCCCTATGTGTTTGTATTCATTGGTTGGTTTGAGGGCATGTCAGCATTAGACATTGCTGTGCATGACCTAAACCTGACCCTCCCTGGGTCATATGTTTCATCTCCTCTATGTGTTATGTCTGGCTGGTTTATGGGCATGCCAGCATCACTTATTGCTAAGCATGTCCAGACTTGACCCCTCTCAGGGTCATATGCCAACTGCAATGTATTCCCAAACCCCTACCCCTTTGTGCAATTGCTGATGCTGTATAATTTTAGCTTTACTACTACTGTTTTTCTAACTACCCTTATCCCTTACTATTGCCAACTCAGTTTTAAATCTCTACTCCTGCACTTCCACTATACTCTTAGACTTAAGTTCTGCCCCTCTTGTGTGAGCCTTACCTTGGGACCTATGAGCTCCCTCTGAACTTGGACACATAATGGCTGGCCCTTCCACACTGCACCCATCTCTATCTGGTTATGCAACATGGGTGTGAGCACTGCCCGGGGCCCTTTTGAGACCCTTAGGGAACTTTGACACACTCAAGTCTGAGAAAGGCTATGAATCAATTGCATTTGAGTTGGTTTATCTCATAACTCAGACAGGAAGTCAAGAATCGGGCTTCCTCTGGTTGTAACTTTTTCTTTTGTACTTCCTTGATGTAATTCATTATCCAGTCTGTAATAATTTGTAATAAATATTGGGGTTGGCTAGTGAAAAGGGGCTGGGTAATCATGCATGCTCAAGGGTAGATATCATGTCTATAGAACCTAAATTTCTGCATGTTTAATTCTGCAATTTAGATATCATGCCTATAAGATCTATTGCCCTGCATGTTTAACTCTGCATCTAGATACCATGCCTATAAGATCTACTTTTATTAAAATTATGTATGTTCTACATCTAAAGAATATGCCTATAGGACCTAAATTCTGCATATTCAACTCCGCATTTAGAGAACCTGTCTATATGACTTGTCTTAATTTCTACATTACCACACTTAAACACTATGCTTAGGAACTAACTGGTTAAAATCAGATATCATGTCATTGTTTAAAATCAATACCCCTTTCATAGAAATCATGCCTATAGGAATACTGCATGCTTCAATTCATGTTCGACTAGATATTATGTCTGTAGGAATTAATTTAGTAATAATCAGTGTTTATAGAATCCAAAATCGGACTAACTAAAATTAGCTTTCCTCAACTAGTTTTAACAACCTTCCCCCTTTATTTAACGTGGTTTAGAAAGCATGCCTATAAGATTTCCAAATCGTTCGTCTCCAACTGTTACTGCTTTGCCACATTCTGAATCAATTAGATATCATGTCTATAGGACCTCACCCAAACACTTAGGCAAGCCTTAGGATAATAATAATAAAATTGAATCCGCCTTTGTTTAATTAATAATTGCTACAACCAGCAGGCATGCCTGATTCGGACTTTTTATCTGAGTTATGTAATAAACTGATATGCTTCAATTAAACTCCCCTCGTCTTTAGTATATTTAAAATCATACCTTAAATGTATGTGCAAGTTATGCTATTTATGTGTTTTGTTTGAGGAGGTATACATGAGCCTTTATTTGTTTAAATGCTTCCCCTAATATGCAGTATTATATGTTTTGTATGTCGCCTTAGATTTTTTACCTTTTGAAACCAAAATCAGCCTAATATCCCTCCCCTTTAGGAATAGTAGTCCTAAATTCCTCCGGGATTGATAGGAATGGGATGGGTAATAGCATGCAATAGTAAGACCAATCTGCGCTTTAATAACTTAACGGGGTGGGAAGGGTAGATATGGACATGACGACCGGTGCGCTAATACCACGTGTATCCCCTCTTTTGAGGAGTGTCATACCGGGTATCGCATTGATGTGATCCATATTAAATATAAAACTAGGACCCCCTTTCCCTTTTATTTGCAAACATACTTTTCAAAACTCTTCTTTAATTGTTCTTTCGAACTCTTATGTGTTTAAACTTAAATCCCCTCTTACATGAGCCTTATTTGATTACCTGCTAATTGCACAAATTCACACAAAAAAATGTCTGGCCAAGAACCACACTAGTAGATCCTGAGGGGTGCCTAATACCTTCCTCTTAGGATAATTTCAAGCCCTTACCCTATCTCTGGTTATAAAACAAACTTAGAAGTGAACCCCTATAGGTGTCATAATTCCCTTAAATCATTAGGTGGCAACTCTTCAAATGCAAAACCCAATTCCCAAAAGGAATGAGTTGTCCAATAACAAATGTCACAAACCCGATCTCCCGATTGCGCAAAGAGGGAAAAATGGGGGCGCAACAGAGCCGTCGAAGGCATAGACCCGATGGTAGATTAGAAGGCCTTTGGTTGGAATTTCCATCGCTTCCTGTTTTTCCTTTTCCTTATAGGAATAATCCGCGAGGTTTTTTGACGATTGGTCCGAGATTTTAGACTTCGGGTTAGACCCTTGGGTTTTTGCTATTTCTGAGCGATTCGCAATGGTCGAAGGTTGATCGTTCGGGGCCCAGTCTCCGAGTCGGGTTCTCGACTCGCATTTACGACCCTTAGGTCTATAAACCGATCTTGAGATTCTTTTAGGTTGGCGACACTGGCTCTTACGCGTTGGGTCGATACGACCTTTTAATTTAGGCTGGCGTTAGTGGCTCTTACGCGTTGGGTCGGTACGACCTTTAATGTAAGTTGGCGTCAGCGACTCTTACGCGTTAGGTCGGTACGACCTCTTAGTATAGGCTGGCGACAGTGGCTCTTATGCATTTGCCGTTAGGATTTTTAATTAACTATTTCGAGCTCAGTGTTCGAGTTGGATTTCGACTTCAGCTCATTGACCCTTAAGTTTTCAAAATTTAAGTTGGCTCTTAGGCTCTTACGCGTTGGTTTGGTACAACCTCTAATGTAAGCTGGAGACAGTGGCTCTTACGAGTTGGGTCGGTACGACCTCTAATGTAGGCTTTAATTTTCCCTGGCTAAAGATTTTTTGAAGTTTTATGTTCGCCCGGCTCTTCGCCGGCTCGATAAGAACCTCAATTATGAGTCGTTATGTAGCGATGAATGAGCACCTCGTGAAGTTTCGCTCGATGGCTGAATTGTTTCGAAGCCTATTGTTTGGAGCTGATATGATCGAAGCCCTTTTCCTTGTGCCGAGGGTAGCCTGATTAACCGGTTCTTTCGAAGTTTTTTTTGAAGTAATTGAAGGCCTGTGATTTTATAGCGAAGGTCGGGCGTCCCCGAGTCACGTTAATTTGGCTGGTACAACCTTATGACTGTAGTTATTGTGTTTGGTCGGAGCCTTTCAGTCCCCGAGTGCAATAGTTTCGGCGTCTATATCGAGGGTATGCCTTTTTAGGGGTCTTATAAGTTCGGATATATAGCCTTAACTTTAATATCGAGATTATGCCTTTTGTAAGGTCTTACAAATTTTATCATGCCTTACTTGAGGTCTTATAGAGGAGTTACTTGGTGTATACAGTAAAATCGGAGGGTCCAATTTTATCTGATGTTAGATGTCTCGTAAGCATATTTCACAAGGTTCGAGACTAGGGTCAAGGTTCACCCTCAAAGGCTATGACGCTTGACCTCGGGGTGAAGCAGACCAACGACTATGATGGAAAAGTGGGGAGTTTCCAAGGCGCGCAACTAGGGCTGATAAAGTCTAGTGAGCTAAGTTCAGACCCGAATCATGGTGTCAACTAGCTGTCACATCCCCATATCTTTGTAATTAATGCATTTGTACTATGTTGGGATTCCCCCTTTTATATAATGGGGATCCTTGTCATCTTGTAAACATATGTTGCTCCATACTAAATATACTCGAACATTCTCTCTGCTCTCTAACACATTCTCTTGGTTTTATCATCTCATTTATTGCTTGTATTTATTGTGTTCTATCTATTGTTATTCACTTATTGCTTATTATTGGCTATAAAGAGCCGTCATTGATTTGTTTATAACTGTTATTCCCCATTTACCACCCTTGATAGCTCCCAGCCGAGCTTCAGACTCGACCCCGAGGCCCTCGAATAGGCAAGCTCGAGGCCCCAATTGACAACGATTCGGTTTGATTAACACCTCGTCTTTAAGCTCTTATTTCGTTTCTAAGTCTTTCGTATAGCATCAACTGCCTAACAACTAGCACAAAAATAGATCACGTATTTTTAGAACCACTAAATCAAATTTAATTGTTATTACCATTTTCACGGTAAACAGTTTGGCGCCCACTGTGGGGCTAAAAATAATAGTGATTATTTTATTGCTGGTTTTACTACACGACGAAAGTTATCTTTCACACTTTTTCTTGTCCAAGATCTTTGATTTCAGGTCAAAATGCTTAAACCAGTGAGTGAGCCCGAAAACAATAGCCTCAGAAACTATGGGAAAGGCGGTACAGTTACTCCAGGTATGGGTGTGCCACCACGAAACCCTAAGAACATGCTAGAGCCAATTCCCAAGGGTACGACCTCGTGTGACGCCCAAGGCGTTAACGCCGGTCATCACATTAACCAGGGAGCGCGCTGAGAAACTCAGCGGGAAACTCGGAAACATCCAACCTGGGCAAAAAGAGAGATTCCTCGGCATGTCGTTTATGATTATTGGGACCGACATTCCCCAAGGACCCGTGATCAAATGGATAAAAACATCCGCTGCAATCAAGGGGCCGATCCGAGACCGCATGATCGAAGACACCCTCACATTCAGCGAGGAGGATCTCGAGTCCTTGGCAGAACCATACAATGACGCGCTGGCAATTTCATTCCTTTTAAGCAACGTTCAAATTAAATGTGTGCTCGTGGATCCAGGTAGCTCGGCCAACGTAATCAGGTCAAAGGTAGTAGAACAGCTTGGGTTGCTCGATCAAATCGTACCAACCTCCCAGGTCCTCCACGGCTTCAACATGGCCGGTGAAATAACGAAAGGAGAGATCGTTCTCCCGGTAGACATGTCAGGCACAGTCTAGAATACCAAGTTCCACATCATCATTGGTGACATGAGGTACAAAGCATTGCTTGGTAGGCCGTGGATACACAACATGAGGATGGTTCTGTCAATTCAGCACCAGATCATAAAATTTGCAACGAAAGATTGTATAACAACCATATATGGAGAACAACATGCGGAAAAAGAGATGTTCGCAGTTTACCGGGAGGCACCAAGCCCCATACACTCCACCTCGGACGAGTCTAGGAGCATACAGACCCCCGAGGATGATGAAGAAGATTTCCTCACCCCTCAAACTTTCATTACCCCGAAGAGTCAGATACAACGAAATCGACAATTGAAGAACTAGCGCAAGCTGTTTTGATTGAGCATCTCCCGGACCGGAAGGTATACCTGGGAACGGGATTAACCCCCGAACTCAGGAAAAAGCTCATTCAATTCCTTATTAACAACATCGACTGTTTTGCTTGGTCCCATTTAGATATGACAGGAATCCTGCCGGAAATAACCACCCACCGATTGAGTGTCGACCCCAGGTTTAAATCGGTGAAGCAAAAAAGAATACCCCAGTCCGAAGTAAAACACACATTCATCAAGGACGAGGTAACGAAAGTCCTTAAAATAGGGTCTATCAGGGAGGTAAAGTATCCCGAATGGCTGGCCAACGTAGTGGTAGTGCCCAAAAAGGGAAATAAGTTAAGAATGTGCGTAGATTATAAAGATTTAAATAAGGCGTTCCCCAAGGATTCTTTCCCATTGGCTAACATCGATCGTCTGATCGATGCTAAGGCTGACCATAAGACCCTCACCTTTCCTGATGCCTATCCATGGTATTACCAAATTCAGATAAACCCCGAGGATAGGGAAAAGACTTTGTTAATCATGAAGTATGGTACCTACTGTTATAATGTAATGCCCTTCGAGCTGAAAAACGCAGGGGTCGCGTACCAACGCCTAGTTAATAAAATGTTCGAACATCAAATAGGCAAATCAATGGAAGTTTATATTGATGACATGCTAGTTAAATCCCTGCGCGTAGAGGACCATTTGACTCATTTGCAGGAAACATTCGACATCCTCATAAGTTACAACATGAAGCTTAACCCCGAGAAATGTGTCTTCGGAGTGGGTTCGGGCAAAATCTTAGGCTTCATGGTATCAAACGGGGGGATCGAGATCAACCCCGACAAAATCAAGGCCATCGAAGAAATCATGGTGGTAAATAATGTAAAGGTCGTGAACGGCTAACAGAGTGAATAGTGGCTCTAGGCAGATTCATATCAAGGTCGTCGGATAGGAGTCACCATTTCTTCTCTTTACTCAAAAATAAAAACAACTTCGAGTGGACTCCGGAATGCCAACACGCCTTAGAGGAACTAAAGAGGTATCTGACTAGTCCGCCTTTGCTCCACATGCCAAAAGAAGATGAAATGTTGTATCTATACCTGGCCGTATGCGAGATAGCAGTAAGCGGTGTGCCGTATTGAGAAGAGCAAGGTACGCAATTTCCTATTTATTATGTAAGTCAGACCCTAGGGGATGCCGAAACCAGGTATCCGCACCTAGAAAAATTAGCTCTTGCATTAATAAGCGCATCGCGAAAGCTGAAACCCTATTTTCAACGCCATCGTATTTACGTTTTAACAACATACCCTCTCCGAAGCATATTGCATAAGCCCAAACTATCAGGCCGACATGCCACATGGGCCATCAAACTCGGGGGGTACGATATCGAGTATCAACCCCGAACGGCCATCAAGTCCCAGATTCTGGCGGACTTCGTGCCGACTTCTCACCCTCTCTCGTGCCCGAGGTAGAAAATGAACTCTTGCTAAAATCAGGCACATCTTCCGGGGTATGGACCCTGTACACCGACGGCGCCACAAACGTAAGAGGATCCGGTCTCGGTATAGTCCTGAAGCCGCCCACGGGCGGCATAATCAGGAAATCTATAAAAACTGCAAAATTGACTAACAATGAAGCCGAGTATGAGGCTATGATTGCAGGTCTGGAATTAGCCAAAATCCTGGGAGCTGAGTCCGTCGAAGCAAAATGCGATTCACTCCTGGTAGTAAACCAGGTAAATGGGAGCTACGAGGTCCGAGAAGACAGGATACAAAGGTATTTGGAAAAAATCCAAATCATGTTATGCCGTTTCAAAGAATGGACCCTGGTCCACATACCGCATGAGCAGAACAGCAAGGCCGATACCCTCGCAAACCTGGGATCATCTGTCGAAGAAGATGACCTACTCCCCGGGGCTGTTATTCAGCTCTGCAAATCAGTGTTCGAGGAAGGTCATGCAGAGATTAATTCTACTAGCCTAACATGGGATTGGAGAAATAAATACATTGACTATCTGAAGGATGGAAAATTACCCGCGGACCCAAAGGAATCAATAGCCCTGCGAACCAAAGCAGCCCGTTTCTTGTTCGATGAAAATGGGACTCTATATAGAAGAACCTTCGATGGCCCCCTAGCAGTATGCCTGGGGCCAGGGGACACAGACTATGTACTCCGAGAAATCCATGAGGGTACTTGCGAAAATCACTCCGGCGTCGATTCCCTATTCCGAAAAGTGATCAGGGCAGGCTACTACTGGGACAACATGGAAAAATACACTAAGGAATTTGTTCAAAAGTGCGACAAATGCCAGAGATTTGCCCCTATGATTCACCAACCCGCCGAATAGCTGCATTCGGTCTTATCACCGTGGCCATTCATGAAATGGGGAATGGACATCGTCGTACCCTTACCAACAGCGCCAGGTAAAGCTAAATTCATTTTATTTATGACTGACTATTTCTCAAAATGGGTGGAAGCGCAGGACTTCAAGAAGATATGAGAAAAAGAAGTCATTAACTTCATCTGGGATCACATCATATGCCGATTCGGGATTCCTTCCGAGATAACATGCGATAATGGAAGGCAGTTCATCGGAAGCAAAGTAACACAGTTCCTTGAGGATCACAAAATCAAGAGAATCCTGTCAACGCCTTACCACCCATGTGCAAACAGCCAGGTCGAGTCCACAAACAAAACCATCATCCAAAACTTATAAAAGAAGTTGGAAAGCGTTAAAGGAAAATGGAGAGAAATATTGCCCGAAGTATTGTGGGCATATCAACAACTTCAAAGTCAAGCACATGGGAAACACCTTTCTCTCTAGTACATGGCGCCGAGGCCCTAATACCAGTGGAGGTCGAGGAGCCATGCGCCAGATTCTAACACACCACTGAGAGCTCGAACAACGAGGCCATGACTACGACCCTCGAACTATTAGATGAAAAGTGAGAAGCCTCGCTGGTCCGAATGGCCGCCCAAAAGCAAAGGATCGAAAGGTATTATTGTATTGGGAAAATTGAGTTTACATATTAAAGTAGTATAGAGATGACATATCGTGACACGTATATTGGTTAAATAGTCAAAGAATTACAACTAGTCAAGAGGCACGAGTAGCAATGGATGCGAGCAAGGGCAAAGGAAGAGGCACGGGCGGATATTCAAAGGGTTCAGCGCCCGTACCTATTCAATACATTTAAATTCAAGAATCAAGAAAAATCAAGGGAATGAATCTGACAACACATGAGAGTCCAAATACAATATTTAATAAGCCTTAAATGCTGAAAACGTTAGAGAATATGTCTTAAATGTAATGATTATATAACGTAGCATGCAATATCATTAATTGCTCATAATGGCCTTATTATGACGAAGGCAAGACATATATCTACAAAAAATGCTAATAAAAAGGGAGAAGGTCTTAAACAATTGTAGACACACAAACAACTATCTGAATATACTTTGGTTTAACTTGTTTCTCTCGATTATACACTTGCTATTCCAACTACTTTCTTTTGTTCATTCTTGCGATTATTAGTTAACCCGATTCTTCTAAATTATCGCTTTAATCAAAATTCTATTTTTTGGTTAAACAAATTGTTCCATTACCGGAATCTGATAATCCATTTTATTTTAGCCAACACTTTTCTTTGTTGCATCAACCATGTCGAACAACAATGACAACGTTCAAGGAAACCAAGAAAATCAAACAACCCAACAACATCAGGGAGATCCACAGAACAATAATGTACTGATTCCTTCTCCACGAGGCTCTCCCGCGGCGGTCTCGTGAAGGCACTCCTGAGGGGTCTCACACAGATGGACAGGCTCAATTTCGAAAATGTTGAAACAATGGATGAGGCTTTGCCAAATACTTATTGCCTCGAAAGTCAATAAAGCTTTTTGGGATTTTGTTAGTGTCAATTACCTGCTGCACCACCCACACCCACACCAAATAACAACACTCTAAGAGACACCCTCGTTCGGCTCGTTAATTCAGGTAGTGGTGGAACCCCCAGCGAGTTCAACAGGAGGGAGAACCAGGTAATTTAGTTAATTGATTTACAAAATTTAGTACTAACATTGCAGAAACAACTCAAGGAGCAAAGTGACCGCATAGAGCAAATGCCCGGGGTGCCACCCATGATCAAAGGGGTAGATATGGATAAATATTCGCAACAACCCTGGAAGCTTGCTCCCCTTCCAATCCCAAAAAAATTCAAAAATGCCTGATATACCAAAATACGAAGGAACAACAGACCCATGAGACCACGTGACTACATTCACAACAGGCGTAAAAGGCAATGATTTGACTAAGCAGGAGATTGAATCCGTATTAGTCAAAAAAATTGGTGAAACACTCACTAAGGGAGCACTAACATGGTATTCTCTTTTACCCAAAAATTCTATAAATTATTTTGCTGAGCTTTGCAGATTCTTTCATCAAAGCACACTCGGGGCCCAAAAAGTCGAAAAAATAATGGAAGATATTTTCAAGATCAAACCAAGGGGACTCAGAATTGCTTAGGGAGTTTGTGGACAGATACTACGTGAAAGAATGACATTGCCATGTGTACCGAGATACTGGGCGGCTATAGATTTCACGAGCAATTTGAATAAAAAAAAGCTCAGAAGCTTCGAAGGCGACTCAAGGAAGCCTTGGTGAATTCCCAGCTA